TTTGGACAACTGTTCCTGGGAAGATATTATGTAACCTATTAACTGGTGATTTCTTACTGTATATTTTTTTCTTAAAATACTGTATTATTTGTACCCTTTTACTGCTTTGTTTTTTATGTCCTTTCTTTTTTTTTCTCTTTAAATAAAAAATATAGATAACCATAATACTGAGTTTTGTTGGATCATTGAACAGAACTGTTTGGAATCTCACTGTTTGAATGTCCACATTATATGTTTTAATTTTGTAACTTGAACACTTATTTCTAAGATGACAATATGTAATCTATTAACTAGTGATTTCCTACTGTTTATTTTTTTCTGAAATTCTGTATAACTTGTACCCTTTTTATGTTTTTTTTTCTTTTTCTCCTTAAATAAAATTAAAAAAAAGACTTACATCTCTGAATAAGGTGGGAATATGGGCTGGAAGGTGAAACTGGTGGGTCTTCTCCTGTGCCTAGTTAGACATAAATGTCATAGGTCACTCAGACGGTCGCGTGCTTTATCAGCTAGAGTTCATTAGAAGGACAGCTTTAAATAGAAGGATGTGCTAAGTAGGCTAATGATGCCTGCCCAAAGAGTCAGGAATGGAAGACTGTAAAATAACCATATGTGAGCATGAGAGTAGAAGGATCCAGTTGAAAACAAATCACTTGGAACTTGTTATGGTGTCCAGTGGGTTTGCATGTTGGAAAATGTAATCGTTTGATCTGTAAGGTTTAGGAATCTGCACAGGTTGCATGAAAGAACAAGGAACATTCAGTGTCAACACTAAAGACTGGATCTCCTCTGAAGACTAAGTGTCATCTTCATTCTTTCCCTTTTTATTTCTTACAATATACAAGCTGATAGGGTGGTGCCACCTGCATTCAGCAGGTATCTTCCCCACTCAGTTTGCGGGATACAATAATTCACAGACACAGTCAGAGCTGTGCTCTACTAATCTCATGGACACTTCCTAGTCTACTTAGGCTGACCTATCACAATTAACAATCACATATGGGGAAGTTAGGAAAGTAGGTGACTGGTGGTTTCTGATTCTTTTTGTTCCTAAGTGTCCAGATCCAGTTTACAAGCGCAGTATTTAGTACCTGGCCCTGAGAAGCTCTCACAGACTATGCCCATCCAGAATGGCCTCCAGTTACTACATCACACCTATTAACTGCTGGAGATGGATTGATCAGAATCTAAGGAAGGCACTGGTATGAATGCAGTATAGAAGACATGATGAAAATTCTAAGTAGAATCTATCTCTCAAGGGCCACATCTCCACCTGCAAAGACATCTTCAGGAGTCTTCATTTGTATGAGATCTGTAACTACTGAGGATACAGACACACACTACTGTCCAAAGACACTGTACAGAGACACTGATGTAAGTGCAGACAGGAACCTCCCTTCAGGAGTGCACAAGACAAGTTTATTAAGTGAAGACTTAAATAATTCAGGGAACCAAATTTATGGTGAATGCAGAGAAAAAACCTGGAGATTTCCTTTCTGGATGACTAACATGCATGAACCAATGATGTTTTCTGTTTTAGATTTGGATCCATCTGTACTCAAAATCTAAATGTACTCAGTCGTGTATACTTTGAGAGGCAAGTGATCATGGCTGTGTGATGCTCCTGACTGAGTTAGTGCAGGGAAGGGCCTTAAAGCTGTCTGCAGTGTCAGAGGTAAAGCCTCTCAGGGTGAGGTGAGGCACTCTGGGGTTGCCTGGAAAGGAATATGTACTTCCTTCTTCCTTGGTCCCATTCACTTCCCATTGTCATACTGTGAGGTAGCCTCCTTTGGCATGTCACTATGGCATGCCACCCTGTCTTGGAACCAATGACCATGGACTTAAAACTCTAAAAGCTGTGCCAAAAATGTGGGTGTGGAGAGTGGGTCCTAAAGAGTGTCAAATTATCATGCTTGGTAACAAAGGATTGGCTTTCTCAGCTAATGCAGGGAAGCCAACATCACAGAAGTGTGTGTAGAAATCCCACTGGCACTGTAAATAGGGAAACGGCTTCATCTGGCAGGATAATCACACAAGACTCCAGGAGCTCTGTGTCCTCAACCCTATTGATATACTGACAAATATCTCCATCCATGACCTGGATGTCACTTATCCACCAAGTCATACATTTGGAAATGCACATCAACAGCTCATCATGAAATGGAAGAGGAGCACATGTGATCAAGGCAGGGCAGCACCAGGAGCACAAGCAAGACACATAAAGAAGCAGAGAAAATGCACACAGGCTCCTCTCTGTACTATGCATCATTTAATTTAGGAGCACATAACTACGTCCTCATGGAATGTACTACATGATCAGATGTAGAGGTAGAGAAAATGAGGACCTGTTTTACAGATAACTCGAAACATTTTGCAGGCACCACACACACATACAAAGCTGCAGAATCACATCCTCCTCCCAGGGTGTCCCTGATGGACAGTGGTGAAGTGAAATATTCACAATGGGCAAAACACTATGAAGTCCGTGAAGGATACTTAGTAGTGCATTTTGTCAGGAAGAAAACACCACCAGTTATATAGATACATACTGATTTTCAGCCTGTAGCCAGTTGTTTCACAGGATCCACACAGATTTTTAAGGAACAATGTTTTCAACCATATCTGTTGCAGAGGTAGGTGAATTGACCTCTCCATACAGGCAAAAGATATAAAGGTATTTGCATTACATGTAAACAATCACCTAGAAGTGACATAAGCAGAAGAAGACTTCAACAATGAAGTGGGCTTGACATCCTGATGCACACCTGTAATCCCAGAACTCAGGAGCCTGAGGCAAGGGGATTACTTCAAGTTCTGAGTTCAAGAACAGCCTGAACTGCATTGCAAGACTTGTTCAGTAACCAAATCCTCCTGCTCTTGCTCTTCATCATCATCATCATCAACATGCAGATAGGATGACTGGTTCTGTGGAAAAAGTCAACCATTTGTTCAACTACCCCATCACTGGCCAGGAGATTCAAGAACAGTGTCCATGGTGGCAGGATTGAACCCATGATGTGACACAGCTCGGGAAATGATATCCTAAGAAATTTTCAGCTGTGCTGAGGTCAGCTTAACCTTGGCTTCACTTTCTGGATGCTGGTCTGAAAACTCCTGATGCATATCTTCTTCCTTTGTGAGATGTTTTCCTGGCAGAGCCAGACAGCTTGGATGAGCACACGGAGGAGAGGCCCAGGATTCTGGAGCAGTAAAGCAGGAAATATTTTGTGGCATTGCTCTGCCTAATTTGTGTACATTGCAAGGAAAGTTTTATTAAATTCTACAGGTTGAAGTGGATCCTTGAAAAGGTTGAGCTCTATTTTGTCTTTGTTGTTTAATTTAACCTTCTTCTTGGACTTCAAGATAGTGTACTAGACAGCTTACCAATGGGACTCACATAATTTGCAATTACAGTTAGTAACACTACCTTTGTGGGCTCTAGTTATATTATCTGATTTTAAAAATGCAAAGTCTTCTCTGTATGACCTGAAGCTACAGAATGTAGAGCATCTGACTGTGAATGATGACCAGTACTACTACCCATGTGTCTTCCTCCATCCATTCAGGGTATTCCTAAAATGATTTCTAACAAAGTTCTGCAGCCTTATATAAGACTATCTTTGCCTGGTTCAGCTGGCCTTGTCCTATCAGGGCGCATGTGACATCACAGCACAGTTTTTGGGTCCCTTCTGGAAGAACTGTTTTCTCTGCATCCACTTTTCCCCAACTGCATGGAAGTGCAACACTGATGATGGGTTTCCTTTACTCAGTCTCCTCATAGTCTTGCTTGGAGATTTGGATGAGATTTATATACACAGCTTAGCATTTATCATAGTGTTCCAAATGGTACAGAATTCCTGCTTATTTATTCAAAGTATTACTTTTCTTACATGGTGGTGGGGACCAGAAGTGGGCGCTCAGGGCCAGCAGCAGGAGCACAAGACCAAGACTAGGGGGCTACAGGAGACCAGGACAGGGTTATCAGGACCAGTTTGGAAAGCTGTGGACCAACACTCGGACCTGGGGATCATCAGGGAACCACGAGAGGCCCCATAGTTGGTGCAGAGAAGGAAGCTCCGGACTTAGGCCTTCACAGCTTTTATTGTCTGAGTTTCCCCTCTGTCTTAGCATCACACACACTGCGGAGAGCGCACAGTGACTTCCTTCCAGTTCACAGGTGAGATGTCCAGAGTGGATAGAATGGGAGGGATTTTTGTGTTGACAGAATATGTTTACTATATTGTTCTTCACCTGACATACAGAAGGAAGGCTGCAGCAATATACATATTCTGGAAAAAAAGTATTCAGGTCTTGGGAACATAGATGCTTTGAGACAAACATTTCTCATGATCACCATGCAAAGGTAGTCTTCTATTTTTGTCACCATGAAGTAACTGTCACATACAGCCATAAATGTTTCAGTTTAGGAAAGAGTAAAATAAAAGTATTTACAGGAAGGGAGTTTTATGGAAAATGACAGGAGAATTTATTAGCATACACACTACGGTTAGCATCTGCAATCCTGTGAAGTTACCAAATTCACTAATTACATATTGGTGAGAGTAAAAAAGACATGAGGTTACACAGAGGAAGAAGTCATGTCTTCTGTATATTAGGGATATTACAAAACAAATCTCAAAACACTCTCATGTGCTTTGACCCCTTCCTTCTCTGAGGCTTACACCACAGAGCTGCCCATATATACAGGAGGCCATGCAATTAGTGTCTCTCGGTGCTAATAAAAACCAGGCAAGCCCTCAGCCTGCAGCTCTGCAGAGGAGCCCAGTCCTGGTGCCAGCTGTTCCCACTCAGTGATCAGGACTGAGCATAGACGGCTCACCATGGAGCTGGCGCTGAGCTGGGTTTTTGTGTTTGCAATTTTCAAAGGAATTTTCAAATCCTTTAGAACAAAAGATGCTAAGGGTACCAGTGAAAATGCATAGGTTACACAGTGGACGTGTTCGACAGTTAAACTAAGCAGGACATCTCTGTGTTTGCAGGTGTCCACGCAGAAGCACAGCTCATAGAGTCTGGAGGAGGCTTGGTGCAGCCTGGGGAGTCCCTTAGACTGTCCTGCGTGGCCTCGGGATTAACCTTAAGCAATTACTGGATAGACTGGGTCCACCAGGCTCCCGGGAAAGGGCTGGAGTGGATCTCAGCTATCAGTAACAGTGGTAGCACATATTTCGCTGACTCCGTGAAGGGCCGATTCACCATCTCTAGGGACAATGTCAAGAATACGCTGTATCTGCAGATGAGCAGCCTGAGACCCCAGGACACGGCCGTGTACTATTGTTCAACTGACACAATGAGAGAAACCTCAGTGGGAGTCAGTCATAAACTTCCGTGCAGGGTCGCTGAGGACCAGCAGGTGTCGCTCTAGAACACAGCACAGACTACAAAAGGAGATGTATTTTACCATTTTATTTTTGGGGGGTTAGCTTTATGACATTTTAAAAAATGATGTTATGGGCCAAAATAAACATCAAAGAAACAAATTTTAAAATCGTAAATACATAAAATATCACTAAACCTCAGACTAAAGATTCATTATAAAGCCCACAAAAGCAAGAAATCTAGTGTAACAAAATTGTGTAATACAGTTTGCTATTATCCATTATTGAAAGTGTGTTTTGCATTTTGTTACCTTTACCCAAAAACATTATTATCTTTTTCTGTGTTTTATGTTGTAAAACAACTTAGTAAAATACATTATAAATTTGTAAGAATGTCTATAAATACGTCATCACACATGTCTCTCACAGATAAAATGCTGGAAAAATGGACAAAAAATATCCATCAGGTGATACAAGTCACATTTCCACATACTCACAATGAAAAATCATATAATACTGTCAGTAAAGGAACTTAAAACTATGCTTTTAGAGTATAATTTAATTCATTAAAAATCATGATACTAAGTACTATGGCATTTAGAGATTTCAATAATTATTGAAAGTTGATCAAAACTTCTGCGAAATATTTTTCTAAAGTATGTTCTACGCCAATGTTACTAGCAAATGTCATGCACTAATATTTATTTTCTTTCCCAAAAAGCTCATGGACAAACATCAAAAATGTCTATGCATAGCAAAGTTGAGATGGCAGTGAATCATATGTTTGTATCATTTTTATCACCTAAAGTGTTTCAATGTTGCAAATTTATTCAATGAAAAAAACAGTATGAAATCAAAATGCTTTTGTGTTTTCAGGTGTCCGGTGCAAGGTGCAGGTGATGCAGTCCAGGAGGGCAGGCTTGGTGTATCTGGGGACATCCCTTAGACTCCCCATGCCGCCCCTGGACTCACCTTCCGTGACTGCTGGATGAACTGGGACTACCAGCTCAATGAAGGGGCTACAGAAACACACTGAAGTGGTGACACACACTGTGCCGACCCTGTGAAGGACTGATTAGCCATCTGCAGAGACAGTGCCAAGGTCCCACTGCATCTAAAGATGAGCAGCCACAGATCTGGGGACACAGCCCTATGTTACAGTGCAAGAGCCACAGTATGGGGACAGCAGTGTGAGCCCAATCACAAAGCTTCCTGCAGGGCACATACTCTCTGTTTGTCATTCTGAGACAGGGTTTCAGGGTGGTATTGAACTCATTTGGTAGCCCAAGCTAGCCTTGAACTCATAGGAATCCTCTCACCTCAGGCTCCTGAGTGCTGGCCTCATGACACTATGCCCATCTCTTGGTCTCTTTTCAAGGGGTGCACATCGACACTCCACACACCCAGCCTGATCCAGGGTATGTTTTTGCCGCCATTGTCCCACATCCAGAAAATCCATTCCCACACTTGCTCATCAGACCTCTGCTGCTAGGAGTTAGGAAAACAAGATGTTCTTTGGAAGAATAGTAGACCTCCTCATGGCTCACACTGTGCCACTGCCCCTTACAAGCCTTGAGGGATTCGAACCTGGTTACAGACCTAAAGGCCTAAGTGAGTGCTGAGTGTGAGACCTGACGAGTGTCAGCATTATCATGCTTGGTATCACAGGCTGGGTTTCCTCAGGTAAGGAAGGAAGGCCAACATCACAGGCATGTGTGTGGGAATACCTTGGGCCCTGTGAGGAGGAAAATTTCTCCAACTGGCAAGATAATCTCACTAGAGTTCAGGAGTTCAGTATGCTCCACCTCATCTGGGTACTCACAGATATCGCCATCCCAATGCACAGAATCTAATTATTTCTCTTTCAGCACCCTCATTTTTTTATTTCAGGTATCTTGTAAGACTGAGCATTAAATTTATACTTTATGGTGTAGTCAGAATTTACAAGGAAATATGTTTAATACAGGACACGTAATTTATAGGATGGTTTTATATTATTTACTGGACACCAGAGACCCAGGGAATCCAGCTAAGAACCGGTACAAATGGCAATGTCCTCCACTAGTCTAGATGGAGGCCTAGAGCTCATGATAATTTCCCATACAAGTCTGTGTCAAGAATCTGCAACGGGAAGGCCCAAAAGGTCAGTGGTGGAAGCTAGAAAGTCTGCATCAGTTGGATGAAGGATCTGAGCTGTAGACTGACGGATCTGCACTGCATCCATGAATCACCTCTCTAAACAAGTGTCTGAGCTCTGCCAAGAAGAGCAGCAGCTGCCTCCATGACAGACAGAACCTGATCTCTTCTGACAAGGAGAGCAGGTGAGTTCTGCCAGGAAAACCACCAAAACAAGCTTCTCCGGGAACATCAGTAACAAACCACCTTTCCCCTCCACTTCTGCTTTTACATGCTGGCAACAATCCTCAGGTGGGAATTCACATCCAGGGCCATGCTAATTTCAGCCAGATGTCACAGCTGACCATGGTTAATTTAGCGCTATTCATATCAGGAAATAAAACTGTCAGGACTGTTATGGTTTGAAAGGACAAATAAAAGCGATTAGAGTTGCCTTTGGAGAAATAGTAAACCAAAACCAGTATAAAATTCCTGGTGGGAATAGGGGATTTCAGTGCCTCTATTCAAGCTTTAAAAGATGCAGGGCTGCTGGATCCAATCACATTTCTATTTCAGTCTATCTGGCCCTTGCAGAAGATTGATTGCCCCTGGAGAATGGTAGTGAATGATCATGAATTCAGTCAAGTAGCAATTCTAATTGTACTTGATAATTAGATGTGGTTTTTTGATGGTAAGCGTGGTTATGTTTTTTTTTTTTTTATCTCTTCACAAGTGGGATGGAGCTATTGATGTGGCACAAGAGTTCTTCTCTGTATCAACCATAGTCACAGGGGAAGAAGCAGCTTTCAGAGAACAGCAGTCTTAGACCTGAAGTGTCATGCCTCAGGGTTATATTAACTCTCCATTCCGGGGTCATGAATTACTCCCCAAGGATCTTGATCACCTTTATCTCCCACACGGTGTTCCTCTGGCCTCTTTCACTGATAATATCATGTCATTTGCAACAATGAGCCCAATTTGGGAAGCACTCTGGACTTGGCAGTAGAGCATGTACTAGCCAGATTATGGAACATAAATCCAGCTAAAATTCAATATCCCTGCACCTCAGTGAAAATTCTAGGAGTCCAGTGGGACATTCATAGCTATCCCTTTTAAGTTAAAAGATAAATTGTCACATATGACCCTTCATAAAACCAGATGCATAAAGTCGAGTGGCTCAATTTGGATTCTGGCATGAATACAACCTCACTAGAGAGTTTTGCTCTAGCAGTTTTCTAAATGATTCCAAAGGGTTCTACTTTAGGTGTGGCCTAGGAGGAGAACAAGCTCTGAAGGTGGTCCACGGTTCTGTGTAGACTCTCCTGCAGCTGAACCATATGATCTGGCACATCGAATAGAATTTGGATGTCAGTGACAGATAGAGATGTTGTTTGGTTTCTCAAGCAGGGTAATTAACAGCGGAGGCCTTTCCAGTTTTGGGGGAAGTGTAGGTCGTCATCTGAAGATACCTACTCTCCATTTGAGAGGCTGCTCTTCCCTTGCTACTGGTCTCAGTGTAAACTGAAAGGTTGAACAAGAGACACCAGGGTACTTGGCAGTCTAATCTGCTCATTATGACCTGGATATTACCGATCCATTAAGTCAGACAGTTGGAAATGCACAGCAACAGCTAATCATGAAATGAAACCGGTGCACATGTGATCAACACAGGGCAGCCATTGGGCAGAAGCAAGGTATGTGAAGAAGCTGCCCACATTCCCAGGGGCTCCTAACCCTACTGCATATCCTTTAGTTTAGCAGCATGCACCTATGGCCTCCTGGAAGTTAGGTCATGACCAGCTGCAGAAGAAGAGGACACTGTGACCTGATTTACAGTGAATTCTGTGCATTTTGCAGGCACTACATATATAGCGGCAGCAGAATTGCAGCCCCATTAAGAGGGGCTCTGATGTTCAGTAGTAAATAGAAATCATCACAATGAAAAGAACTTCGGACAGTGCACATGGTAATACATTTTTCCTGGAAAAAACATGGCTATATTTGTGTCTCTGTGCTGATTTCTAGGCTGTGGTCAATGTTTTCCAAAGTGAGTTCAAGGACAGCCTGAACTGAACAATGATACCCTGACTCACAAACCTAATCAAACTTCTGCTCCTCCTCTTGTCTCTCTTCCTCCTCCTCCTCCTCATTATCATCATCATCATCATCATCATCATCATCATCATCATCATCATCATTATCATTATGTGAATAAAATGGAAAGTCAATAATTTTTATCAGGTACTGTCCCATTGCCCAAATGACTCATGAACAGAGTGTCTATTGTGGCAGTAATGGAGTTCATGAGTTTTAGATACATTTTGGAAACATTGCCTGAAAAACAGTTTTCATTTTTTCCATGGTCAGCTTAAATTTAGCTAAATTTTCTGAATTCTAAAAATTCTTACAGCATTTCTATTGCTTTTGAGAGTTGTTTCAGTATTTTGTCTGGGATTTTGTTTATTTTCTTTTCTTTTTGATTGTTCGCTTGGCAGATCTGGGCAGCTTGGATCCCCAAATAGGCAGGAGTGCTCAGGACATTGGAAGTGTGAACCTGCAGATGTTATGTGGCATTGATCTTTCTACTTTGAATGCACAGCAAGTAAAGATTTTTAAATTTCTATAATATGAAGTTGTTTCTTAGTTTAAGCTCTAACCTTCTGTAGTTGTTAATTTTGCCTTCTTGTGGGAGTCAAAGACAGTGTGGTCCTTACTGATGGTAACTGTGTTAGATAAAGGTATAGCTAACTGTCTCACATCTGTGAGCTTGAGTTTTATTTTCTGACTGTAAAGATGCAAAGTCTCCTTTGTACAACCCTGAAGGTATAGAATGTAGGGTATTTGGCCATTAGTGATACCTGCCCATGGGCCTTTCTTCATCCCATCAGGGTCTTCTGAAAATCATTGTCAAATAAGTTCTGCAGATTTCAGT